GAGCCTGTGAAAAATGGTCAGGTTTGCTAGAGTGATGGTGGGCAGGTAAACTGTGTCAGACCAGGGCGTATCCAACTCTAGAGAGGCTGGAGATCTGGGGAGAAGGAGTCTGAGGATCTGAAGTGCTGGCAGACAGGTAACATTTAGGGGTTGTCTGGTAACTTACAGGGGAGACTCAGTCATGGGATAATTCTACATTTTCTTCGTGCGGGCAAACCATGACTCTGTATTTGAAACCTTTTAGAATTTTTTTCCTCTGTTTACCTGAATTTTCAATAAATGTTAGATACTGTAATTAATTTTTTTTTATTTTTCAAAAATACTAAATGTAAGGTACTGAGATAGGTGTTACATGTATATCACGCCTTTTAATCTTTAGAATGACCTTGACATGTTGGCGGTATTATTCCCTTTTTGCAGAGGAAAAACTGAGGCCCAAGATGGTTAAATAACTTGCCAAGAGGACCTAGTAAGTGGCAGAACTGGGATGAGATCATTGGGCTGTCTGGGCATACGCCAGTCTTCTTCCCCTCTCCCTGCTGCTGTGCAGTGGTCCAACAGGTCCGCTGTAGAGACTGGACCCAGCGCGTGTGTAGCTCTGAGGATGGCTCTCGGTATCTGAAGCTTCTCAGAATCTCATATTTTAGGGATTCACATGTGCCTGGAAGACTTGACAATCTCTCTTAGATCTGCCTTACCAGCTTTATTTATCAGTCCACATTTTACCCACCTATGTTCTGTTCATTTCTCCTCATCCCTCAAACACCATGCACTTTTATGACCCTGGTCAGATGTTTCTCATACTGTGACCTGAGATCTACCTACTTGTTAAAGATGTAAACTCTGGATCCCTATGTGAGGCCGACAGAACCAGAATCTGAGTCAGAACCAGCAATTCGCATTTTAAGAAGCACCCCAAAGTGATTTGTCGGAACATGAAAGTTTAAGAGCCACCGGTGGCCTTTGTGCATGCTGTGCTCCCTTAGAGCGCCTTCCTTGCACTTCTAACTTTCTGTCTCTCTGTCTTCTCTACCACATGAATACCTTTAAGTGGTACCTCAGATTTCACCTCTTTTGTGAAATTTTCTTGGTTCCACCCCAGCATAGTTAGCAATCTCCACTTTCGTTTTCCCTACCAATTTGTTTCTGCTTCTATTAGAACACATCGTTTTGCATTTTACTTAAAATATATCTCTGTCCTCTCTGCTGTGAGTTCTTTGAGAGCAGGGACGGTGCCCTATTTATTTTCCTTCTTCTCTCTAGTGCCTGGCACAGTGGCTGACATCAAGTGGTACTCACCAAATGTTTGCATGTAGGAAGACAGGTTTAGGCAGGCCTCAGTCCTAGAAGGACTGGGTGGTGGGCAAGTACACAGCAGGGATCTAGTTATTTGTTCTAAGTTGTGAGGCTGGGGCCTTGCTCCATTCTGGAGGGTTAGGCTAGTACTCAATTCCCAAAACCAAAGGAAAGTCACTAAAAATCAGGCCTTGCTAGTGACCAGCTTAGGACTCTTAAAATTCTTCATTGCTTGGTTTGAGATTTCTTCTCAGACCTACAAGTGGGGGTCGTCTCAACCAACTGATTTTGAATGCTGGGGAAGATGAGCAAGTCACGCAGGCTATCATTTAAACTTCTGAGGATTAAGTTTGTGATGGTAAGTGCTCCGAGATCTGGATATGGGAAGAGTTGGCAGTTGTCATTGAGCTGGAAGCAGGGTCATCTCAACCGTGGAGATACCACCAACCTATTTTCATGTACACGATTTGCTCAGGAAGGATAGGGATGTTCCCTCAACCAAATTTTAGACAGAAGGTGAGAAGTGCTATTGTCCTGCTGGTGTTCACGACTCAAAACTTTTTAATAATTATCTTCCGGGTTTTAACTAAGGTTGCATAGCTGTGTGGGTTCCCTGTAGGAGTCCTGATGTGACAGTTTCTACTAGACTATGAGCTTGTTAGATCCTGTGGCTTTGGTTCTCTGGCAGCACCTGCCTTTGACCAGGACTATGAGGCCAGCTGCTGAAATGGTATTTGGATGAGGAGGAAAGTCAACTGATTTTTTTTTTTTTAAACTTCCTTTTTATTTTTATTCAATCACTTCATTCCTGGAACCTTCTTTTTTATTATATTTACCACGTTATAAATTCACCTACAGCAATTTAGATGGAAGGAAAAGTAAGGAAAATTATTTTTGTTTACTGGGAACCATTAAAAAGGGAGGCTATTAAAGATTATTGTTGTTGCAGTCAAGTTTCAACAACAAATGTTAGAAGTACCAGTGAAAGCCATAGCATTCCCATTCCTGGATAATTTGTTTCTGCCCTTGTTTGCCTACATATGTTTTAAGACTTTCCAGGGTGGTTGTTTCTATTTAAGGCACATCATCTGTGGAATTCTGAAATACAAACCAGTTCTTTGAAATTTTTGATAAAGCTCAGTTCTTAATAACAGGAGGGTTTCAAATGCCCTCATAGCCACTTGGCCATCTGTAAATAAATGAAGTTCAATGAGGAAAATAGCATAAGGAAGCCGTTTTGGTTACTATTTCCATTTTGTTCATTCACATCATCAGTTTCAAGATGACA